TTTTTGTAATGGAGTTAATTTTAAACAGTTTATCGCTAATGTTGCTACCACCATTAAACATTTTGTACATGGAAATCATATCCCCCCTTAATCTCCTCACCTCTAATGTGAACATGTTTAAATTTAGTAGCCTCGTCTCGTAGCTCTGGTCCTTCGTACCCCTAATTAGTTTGGTTGCCCTTCGCTGGACTTTTTCCAACTCAAGGACATCTTTTCTTAGTACTGGTAACCAGAACTGGACCGCGTACTCCAGATGAGGTCGAACCAATGATCTATAAAGTGGCAAAATTATAGACTTGTCCCTGCAATACATCCCCTTTTTAATACAGGACAAGACCCTGCTAGCTTTGTTTACAGCAGCCTGGCACTGCAAACTACCTTTCAGTTTGTGGTCTACAATGACCCCCAAATCCTTCTCCATTTCTGACTTCCCCAGCGGCACCCCCATAATTGTATAAACCATTTGTTTATTTTTAATTCCAAAGTGCATTACTTTGCATTTATCGACATTAAACCTCATCTGCCACATTAATGCCCACTCCCCTATTTTATCCAGGTCCTCCTGTAATGTTATGGTGTCTAAGTCCGTGTCTATTACCCTCCCTATTTTGGTGTCATCCGCAAACACGGAAATATCGCTGTTAACACCCTCCCCGATGTCATTAATAAATAAGTTGAACAATAAGTATCATTATACTTTGCCAAAAATGTGGGTTTGCTATTGTTCTGAGACCTCCAGCAATGGATTACTCTGCATCATTTGGAGTTTAAGGGTTACTTTGTAGAACTCTACATTGTTCTCTTCTATGCACTTAGGTTAGATAGATTTTCCCCTGGTGTGATTCAATGTTTTTTGTTTTTTTTTGTGCTTCAGGTGAGAAGCCGTACAATTGCCATGTGTGCCAGGCCCGGTTCACGCAGAACGCCAGCCTGAAGATGCACATGTTAAGGAAACATACTGAGAATGTGCAGAAGGAGCGCTGCCTCATCTGTAACGCAGTACTGTTCGGGAAGAACGACGTAAGTAAGTACTTTTACCGACACGCATGGGCAGCAGTGGTTTCTATGAAAAGGGAAATTGTGCCTTATACCATGGGGGTGTTAAGCAGTACACATGCTCCAGAACCATAAAACAGACACATACGTTAACAGCATGAAGCTATTGGAATATAATGGGCACCTTTTGTTATTGTTATCTGCAGTCTAAAATAAAAGGTCGTCTACAGGCACAACAGTTTTTGTCACTTTTGGGTTAGCGGTTTGGCTGGAGTTGCTCTTTAATATTATTTTGCAGAGGTTCATATCCGCAAGCAGCACACCTACCTGGAGGACCCGATCAAGTGCCGTCTGTGCTCTGAGGAGTTTCACGAGCGCTATCTTTACCGGCAGCATCTGGAGAGCCACAGGAGCCGAAAGACGCTGGAGCTGAAATCCGGCAAGCAAAGCTTTGAGGTGAAGCCTTTTGGAGGTTGTCGCTGTGCAAACTCATTTTTTGTCTACTTTGTGTTTGTAGCATCACATTGTTTTTCACTTCTTTTTGTCTTTAGAATATACAGAGATAAAATAGTTTGGGGAAAATTAATTTGAACAAAAGCAAGACTTGTTAGTCCCCCAGATAATGGCGTCATAGTCCGGAACATGTAGAAACGAGGCCCTAGATTCAAATGTATCAATAGGTCAATCTGATTGCGATAGGATGCAGTGGGCCTGGTAGGCTGCTTTCAGCAAGAATATAGTTTCCCCCCTGAACCGGTGACCCAGGAAGGAGACCCTTAAGCCCCTTAAATGAGTTGGTGTTACATAGTTACATAGTATTTGAGGTTGAATAAAGACATTAGTCCATCAAGTCCAACCTATGTTGTCTTGTTATGAACCATCACTAGTAATAAAGCACTTTGGACTCTTAGGTCTTTCTTGTAGCACTCTCCCTAGACTCTGTACAAATAGTATTCTTGTGACAGTTATTGCTGTTTGTAGAGTTCCCCTCACTTCCTGTCAGGTAAAGTTGTCAGCAGGACAGGAAGTGAGGGGAATCTATATAACAGGAGCCCCAGAAAACGGAAAATTGTATACTTGCCTATCGGTAATTTTTCCTTTCCTGACGCCACTACATGGCAGCATACATTGGGCTGGGGGCAGAGCCATACCCATTGTATGCTGCCATGGATTGGCGTCAGGAAAACGGAAAATTGTATACTTGCCTATCGGTAATTTTTCCTTTCCTGACGCCAATACATGGCAGCATACAATGGGTATGGCTCCGCCCCCAGCTCAATGTATGGTGCCATGGATTGGTGTCAGGAAAGCAATAAAAGTTCTAATCCTTCCCCAATCTATCCAGAACTAATAGAAAAAAAAAGTTTTGTCAGGACACTTTGACTAGAAGTTTTAATGCCCAGAGTTCAGCTTTAATGTATTTTTCCTTTCATTTTAGGCTTACGAGTTGGATGAGCAAGAAGCGGAGATCTCCACCACTGAAGACGGAGTGTCTTGGAACATCATGCCAAGCGCAGGGGAGGCGCAGTTGTTTCTGAACTATCAGGAGGGGGAGCAGCCGCACGCTGTGACGGAGCTGCACAGCATTCCCATGCAGACGGCGGATGGCAGCATCGTGCAGGCCATAGTGCTGCAGAGCGGAGAGCAAGTGGACGCAGAGGCCATGCATGCCGAGGTGTACGAGGTGCGAGATCTGGCCCAAGTCCTTCAGCCCCTAGTGGAGCAACAGTCCTCGGAGCCCATAGTCCTAGCACTGGATTCTGTTAATCAGGATGCACAGAGTGCAGAGCAGCTGGTAAGGAAACGCGAAAATCAAAGATTATTTTGAGTTTTTACAACTGCTGATTAAATGATCTTTTGGGGTTTATGTCTTCCCTTTAAAGCCAAAGTGTCAGCACTAGGAACTGTTGGTAATCGAATTCAGTTTTACAGAGGGCAGGTTTGGCTTTGACCAAGAAATGGCAACTGTCGGCACTGATAGGTTGATAAATGAGGCCCACTTACTGAACACATCCAAGAGGGCGCTGTCAGGCTCTGCTGGTATTGTTTACATGTTTAAACAATTTACAAATTCATTTTTGCTTTTTTCCCTGAAGAAGCACTTTGAGTACATACAATGTGGTGACTGCACATGCAGATTATTGGAAAGGCCATCTGTGAAACAGTAGCAAGAGAGGCTTCATTCTCCATAGCCCATCTTGTGCTGGAAGCAGATTTACCTATACCTTTGGTTACATTTTTATCATTGGATATTTCTGATAATGGTTCTGGGTTTTTTTTTTTTCTCCTCTCCTCAAAGGATGTTGCCCCTGACTTCATTCCCCAGGCGGCTTCCACGCCTCGGCTGACAGCCATGAAGGGGAGACGGATCCAGCCAATCAGCCCTGAGCAGCAGATCGGTAAGCTAAGTGCTCACAGTTCATCTCAATACAAAAATCACTCACCAGATATTCACCATTTTTCCAGACCTCGTATTCACCAGTCGCATTCTTGCCCTTGTGAAGTGGACCAACTCGTAGCTGCATTTAGGAGTTGCGGCTTCGCTGATTTCTTGTATTCAGAGATCGACATGGGCGTATTGTGGAATAATACAACCCTGGGGTCCTGTGGAAGAGTCACAGTAGTGATTTTGCTATTAAACTCATAATCTGTACCCAGATAGATTTTATTTGGGAGCAGTTCCACCAGATAAGGGTGCTAGGGGCCAGTCCACTCCTCCAACACTATGGAGAGGTCCAGAACTCCCAGTTTTGCCTATTAGGGAGCCGTTCCACCAGATACGGGTGCTTTGGAGCCAGTCCACTCCTCCAGCACAATGGAGAGGTCCAGGACCCCATCTTTACATATTATAAAGCAGTTCCACCAGATGAGGGAAAGGGTGCTTGGGGCCAGTCCACTCCTCCAGCACAATGGAGAGGTCCAGGACTCCCAGTTTTGCCTATTAGGGAGCTGTTCCACCAGATACGGGTGCTTGGGGCCAGTCCACTCCTCGAGCACAATGGAGAGGTTCCAGGACTCCCAGTTTTGCCTATTAGGGAGCTGTTCCACCAGATACGGGTGCTTGGGGCCAGTCCACTCCTCCAGCACTATGGAGAGGTCCAGGACTCCCAGTTTTGCCTATTAGGGAGCTGTTCCACCAGATACAGGTGCTTGGGGCCAGTCCACTCCTCCAGCACTATGGAGAGGTCCAGGACTCCCAGTTTTGCCTATTAGGGAGCTGTTCCACCAGATACAGGTGCTTGGGGCCAGTCCACTCCTCGAGCACAATGGAGAGGTTCCAGGACTCCCAGTTTTGCCTATTAGGGAGCTGTTCCACCAGATACTGGTGCTTGGGGCCAGTCCACTCCTCCAGCACTATGGAGAGGTCCAGGACTCCCAGTTTTGCCTATTAGGGAGCTGTTCCACCAGATACAGGTGCTTGGGGCCAGTCCACTCCTCGAGCACAATGGAGAGGTTCCAGGACTCCCAGTTTTGCCTATTAGGGAGCTGTTCCACCAGATACGGGTGCTTGGGGCCAGTCCACTCCTCCAGCACTATGGAGAGGTCCAGGACTCCCAGTCTTTATGTTGTTTAGAGTTATTCATATTAACTGATGGAAAGTGCTTCCTTTCTATGAACATATTATGAATTTCTCATTCCTTCCCATAGAGGTGAAGCTGCATCGGTGTAAAGACTGTGACAAGGCTTTCACCACCGGCATGGAGCTCCTGAAACACAGAAAATTTCACAAGCCAGAAAACCTATTCAAGTGTCCTTTTTGTGATACTGAGTCTTCGGGGGTAAGTCAGCATTAGAGTCGGTCGAGGAAAAATAAAATCATCTGATCGGCTATTGTACACGATTTAAAAAGGTTTTTTTATTTTTACTTTTTCATTCTGCTCTTAATATTCAATCCTCTAAAGTTGTCTTAAAGGAGAACTATGGGGTCAGGGCTTTTCCCCATAGTTCTCCTAGGGGTAACGGGAGGACACAAACTAGCATCCTCCCATCACCCCAAGCTCAGTATACAGCTCGCGGTATACTGAGACGCCGCGGCCAAGACGGATCCCGACATTACTGTCGAGATTCACCCAGCTGCGTGATTGACAGCTGGCTCTGCCTATCTAGAGGCAGAGCCAGCTGTACCCGCCCCCTCCCCCGTCCGTTCCTCCAGTCAGCACTGGAGGATCGTACAGGGGAGGGGGGGAATCCCTGCAGGGAGCTGTGAGTGACAGTCACGGCTCTCTGCAGGGATAGATCGAGAAGTGAGCGAGTGACGGTATGTGTTCCCTCACTTCCCGATCTATTGAGCCGACCTGTGACAGATTCATTGTCACAGGATCGGCTCGAACTATGAGGAGTGATTTTCACTCGCCTCATAGTTCTCCTTAAGTAGAAAACTTACTTGTATCTTTGTGCCTAGGCCCTTGAGCTGATCCTTCACATTCAGGTCCACGACGATGACCGCCCATTCCGCTGCGAACAATGCAACTTCTCCACGACAGATTCCTTCAAGCTAACCAGGCATAAGAGAATTCACACAGGTCAGTGAAGGATGGGATGGCTTTCTTACAGTTTTAATGTTTGAGAAGCAACATCATGATCTGTTAGATATGAAACTCTTCTGCTAAACTCTCAGGGTGGGCTTCCTGATGTTGACAACAGTGGACCATGCCTGCGTAATGTTGAAATTGCCAGTTTTTTGTCTCCAATGGAAGCCCATGTGACAGAGTGACAGCGCAGGAGTATAATTGGAAGACAGGGACATAGCGTTGTCACCCTGTATCAAGAAGTGCCTGAACAAGTACCTCGATGGCAGCGTCACCAGGGATTATAATGAAAGCTGCAGGATCAAAAGTATTTTAGATGACTTTTAAAATGACATTAACCTGGTAAAGCTTCTGTGAGATGTTAGTGATTGGGTTTACATCAACTTTAAGTGCCATCGATGTAGGGTATAGGAACGGCTAGAGGCTGTAATATATTGTTCTGTCAAGCACTTGCTAAGTTTAATTGATCTCTCCTTCTTTTTCCTGGTCTCAGGGGAGAAGCCTTTCACGTGTAACATATGTCAGGCCAAGTTCACACAGAAGACCAGCATGTTGATGCACATTCAGCGGAAACACACCAAAGAGCTGCCCAAATTAACCTGCCCTCTGTGTAACACCATCCTGACCGGGAAGCACAGTCTGAGTGAGTGTATCTCTGAATCCTCTCCGTCCCAGACCTGGGGATATACCTGTCTATGCAGTATGACAATAAGGCCTCATTTCACACACAACGCAAGCAAAATTGTATATTGCGTATATACGCGTCTATGCGCGTATATATGCGTATACACGAGCGTATATGCAATCTCAGAATGCATCACTCGTAATGGAATTTTTAATGTGCTGTACGCGCGTATAGACGCGTATATGCGCGTAAACACGCAGAAATACGCTGGCCGGACGCATCTCTGTTCCATTCTGTTTTTGCGCATATATACGCTACGCAAATATACGGCTCTATACGCGGTTGTGTGTATGGAGCCATTTATTTGCATAGGTTGCATATGGTACAATACGCACGTACACACGCGCATACGTGCTGCAGTGTGAATGAGGCCTAAGAGAGCATCTCCAATGTTTCTTTGTAAAGCCGGCGATATTGAAGGGGGTCTGGTCATGAAGTAGTGAAGTTGCTGGTCATAACCCTTCTCCTCCTAAAGTGACACTAAACTCAGGAGATAAATCTTAACAATACATTTCAGGTCCCTGAACTCTGAACAACATTGTATCTTATTTGGCTGTAAATCCTCCAATCATCTCTGACACTGTCCTTCCTTCTGGAGGGGGGCTAATAGATTTTTGTTAATAGTTAAGGAGTTTGAATGTATTTTTAGGATGAAACTTTTGAGTTTAGTGCATCCCATTAATTTTAAAGTGACACTAAACTGTTAAAGCCGGCCATACACCTATAGATTATCTGCAGATGTTCTATGGTCGCTCCCGGGATGGACTACAATCTCACGTTTAGTTTACTGATTTGTATTGGGATTGTAGTCCATCCCGGGAGTGAGCTTGGAGCGGTGACTACTCTACAACACACACAGGGACCATGGGGAAGAGACTGTGCCAAACTGGGCAATAGGGGGCCTACTTAAAAAGCGGAAAAGGAACAAGCCATAATCCCTTATGCTCTTAATGTGACTGCTGCAGGTAAACACAATATATATTCAGTAAATGAATACATGCTCCATACTCCAGGACTCAATACAGGCTTATAGTGATTAAACCTGCTCCGTCTCATGGGGCTGTATGAATTTATGCAGGTTGGTAGACACTTCGGGGTACTTTGTATATGTAAACCACAATAGAGACCGGGCCTATTTTCTAACATGATAATACCATCTGTGGTTTTGGGTGGGATATATATCTATCTATATATATAGATAGATCTATATATATAGATAGATCTATATATACACACATTTATATACACATTTATTGTAACCTTTTATTAACATTTATTGTAACCTTTATTAACATTTATTGTAACCTTTTATTCACATGTTATGTTACAGGCATTCACATGCGGAAGCAGCACTCTCATTCCGAGACCGAGCTGAAGTGCCGTTTCTGTCCCGCCACGTTCCGCGAACGTTTTGTCCTCCGCGAGCACCAGAAGACTCACAGAAACGAAAAGCCCATCAAATCGGTCATCCCGAGGGCAAAAAGGAGGAGGATTGCCGAGAAGAGTCAGGTGAGGGACGCAGAGGTCCTGATTAAAATTGGCTGAAGAGTACCTGGCCTTGTTCCCAACATCAGCCAATCACACCCCATCTCTCATTTTCCCCATACTGCACTGCTATCATGAAGGAACGGGAACATATCTTTTTTTTGTCTGGCCAATACATGGCTCTGTGTCTAATTTATAAGCGGGGGCATTTTTTTGTATATTACACACACAGAAGAGACTGCTAGGCTGCATTTTAACTCTGTTGATATTTTATGTGACCCGTGTTGCATTTAAAAATCCTAATATTTTTGGGGTGATTTCAGCCAGGGTAATAACTGAAATGTGCCTTTTATGTTCAGCCGTGGCTTGCTGTGGGAGTGGCTAGTCCGCAAAGTGAAGGGCAGAAGGGGGGAGGTGCTTTGGCGGGCTTACAGAAGAGACAGAGCTCAGCCAAATGCAGTACAGCTTCCCATGGAGCGGAGAATCTTTTGCCAAGGTTCACACGGGCAGCAGGTTTTACTGCCCCCTACAATACCATCCCCGGCGGATCGCTTTCCAGACTGAAGTTGCTGGCTGGTTGACATGCTTGAGGAGGTGATACCGCCTGAGTGCCTGTTTTGCTTTTTTGTTCCCAGTGGAAACATTGCATTCCAATAACCCCCCGGAACCGAGTGCCAAACAGTTGGCATGCAGTTGCGGCATGGTCCCATTGGCATCACTGGGCGCATTTGGGAGGCGGTGCCTCTTAGCAAACGAGATTATTCAAGTCATCGGAACGGCGCCACATCCGCATGCCATGTCCTGTGTACAAACACGAGCAGCTACCATGCTAGGTTTTAGGTGGGTGGTCAGGGGTGGTAAAAACGCAGATGACCCGCCTATCCTTACCACCCCATTCGGCCATTGATGTGTCTTCCCTTTTTATTCCCAGAGCGATCAGGTGAACTTTGAGGAGCAGGAGCCGGTGATCGGAGCCCAGGCGGAGGAGTACACCTGGCAGGTCCTGCCGACGGAACAAGAGACACAGATCCACTTTGTGATCAGCGACGATGCCGAAGAGGCCAACTCGGTGACAGAGTACCACGTCCTCCCAGTGGAGGCGAACGACGGCAGTGTTATTAGCATTCAGGTGTCAGGGATGCAGCAGATGGAGCAGCTGGAAGCAGGTACATTACATCAGGTGATTTTAGAGAATCTCTTAAAATAGCTACAGGGATGGGTTGCCCGCGGTGTGCCGCGTGTAGGGAGGGCATCCTGTAAGCGAGAAGAAGGGAAACCTGTGCTGCCAGGGGACGAAGAGTCGCAGCACGCTGCCAACCGAGGAACAATACACAAAACCACCGGCCACATCCAATATCCCCCAGTGCGTGCGTCGCTTTTTCTACACCCCACGGGGGGGAAAGTATCCCATGCCTCGTTGTACATATGTAGCTCATTCGTTTTGTATCGGTTCGTTATCTAGACTTTGTTTAAATTATAAGACATTTAAAATATGAGCAGCCGCTGAATATTCCACAACGGCCAGGCCTGGAAGGCGGAAGCACAGCGCAGAGGAGGGATATTGTCAGGAATGGAGAGATGGCGATTACTTCACCGTTGACAATAAAAAGTGCCTGAATTTCCCTGACTGCCTCCATGTTGGGAGGGGGAGGTGTATGCGCATCGGGGAGGTTCACAGACCCAACGGTGTGGATGGTGATCTGTAAAACTGCATCTCTTGTTCAGCTGAATAAAAGTTACATCCAAATGGAGTGAAATTGTTGTTTGATTTTCTTTTAAATTATAATAATTGCTGAAGAAAATTGTTCTTTTTGTGGCTCTGCATTCAGACTGACTGACCTGCTCCGGCTCCCACACAGTGGGATGTATTAAAGGTATAGTCCACCTCTACTATAGTCCTTGTTTCATATTTATCTCTCTCTCTCCTCCCTTACCTGAATCACTACCGTAATGTGTTGTGGTTTGATTTTGGTGCGGCTGTCCCAGTCTCCGGCCTCTGCATGGACCTGAGGTTGGGGGAAGCGTTTGCAGGAGCCTGAGCATTGCACCCGCAGCACAAGATCTCTAAATTCCATCAGGCTACACTTATGGCCTCCGAGCTGTCTACTGTAAACTTCTCTCATCCCACCATGTGATGGAGATAAATAGTGGAAGACCTATTTGTATTACAGATCAGCCGTGACTTCCTCCATGAATACAGTAGAGGTAGTGAGCGTAGCCACCACCCAGGGACAAGAGGTGTGCTACTGGTAGGATCATCAGGTAATCATAAAAGAACAGAAGCCTGAAAAAGAAAACTAATGCAGTCGCCTCATCGACACCCCGGTAAGCTGCAATATGTCACAATGTTGTTTTATGGTTAAAAGAGGCTTTTGGACGCACACAGAACCAAAACGCGTTAAGGTTGAAAGAGGTGTGAAAGGACTCTGCTAGGCCAATGCCATACAGTCCAGAACTGACCCCCCTTCTATGCTTTGTGTGGCTGGCTACCCTCCCTCTCTCATACCGACTTGGTTCATGTTCTGGTGATATAATGAAGACAAGGGCTAAGATCACAATGTAATAAATTCAGAGTCCTGGCAGTTCAATGGCTGAGAGTTGGAATGCATTTTCTGGCAGTGCCCTGCGGCCTGGATTAAGGCGATGGAAGAAACGCGTTGGATTGGGTTGTGTGGAAGGGATCTCTGATCTGTGAGTTAGATTTTCTGCCGGCCGTTGAATGGGACACGGCGTATGTCTGGGATGGGCCAGAAGGGGGCGCTCCTGCCATTGTCTTCCTCTATACAGTCTGGGAGCTAGTCAGTATTGGGTAAGAAGTACGCACAGTGTGTGTGTGCGTGGGGGGTATGCATAACATGAATGTACAGTATGGGGGATGTACGTATAATATGGGCGGAGTAGTAGTATGTATAGGGAGGTATGTATAGTATGGGGGGGAGTAGTAATATGTATAGGGAGGTATGTATAGTATGGGGGGAGTAGTATGTATAGGGAGGTATGTACAGTATGGGAGTAGTAGTTTGTATAGGGAGGTATGTATAGTATGGGAGTAGTAGTTTGTATAGGGAGGTATGTATAGTATGGGGGGAGTAGTAGTAGTTTGTATAGGGAGGTATGTATAGTATGGGGGGAGTAGTAGTTTGTATAGGGAGGTATGTACAGTATGGGAGTAGTAGTATGTATAGGAAGGTATGTATAGTATGGGGGAGTAATATGTATAGGGAGGTATGGGAGTAGTAGTAGTAGTATGTATAGGGAGGTATGTATAGTATGGGGGGAGTAGTAGTTTGTATAGGGAGGTATGTACAGTATGGGGGGTGTAGTAGTTTGTATAGAGAGGTATGTATAGTATGGGGGGAGTAGTAGTAGTTTGTATAGGGAGGTATGTATAGTATGGGGGGAGTAGTAGTTTGTATAGGGAGGTATGTACAGTATGGGGGGAGTAGTAGTAGTTTGTATAGGGAGGTATGTATAGTATGGGGGGAGTAGTAGTTTGTATAGGGAGGTATGTATAGTATGGGGGGAGTAGTAGTATGTATAGGGAGGTATGTATAGTATGGGGGGAGTAGTAGTATGTATAGTGAGGTATGTACAGTATGGGGGGTGTAGACATTGTGCTCTGAAAATGAAAGTAAGCTGCCAGTGTCTGTCTATATGTACCGTGTGTGTGCACGTTGTACATGATACCGGCCACCCCCGCCCTGGAATATGCTGGTATCGCCCGTTGCCCGCCCATCTCACGGACTCCCATTCACATGCTCCGTATGAAGAGAACCGGCGGGGCGTGTCCGAAATGACAGATGGGCGTGGCGTGGGTGGGTGTGACCGTATGTTGTGTGTGACTTGGAGGGGCGCGGTGTCCTCTGTCTTCGGGCAGCCGCCCACTTAGCTCCTCCCCACCTCTCCTCTATTCGGTGCGTATCACATGCCTACCTTGCGTGAGAGAGCGATGATTGGCCGGTCTGACAGCCTCTCCCTTGTCTATTGGCTAGAGATTCCCGCCCCCTTTTGTCCCTCCCCCAATCGGGTTGCGAGCAGTGGACAGTAGCCTGCCCGATCGGCTGGCCAGGAAGATGGCAAGGACAGCGCACAAGATAATGAGCCGCCGGGTGATATGTGGGTCATGTGACTCAGGATGGAGCTCCGCCTCCCCCGTTGCCATGTGCTCCGCTGTAGAATGTGGACAGACAGGTTTGTTATATGACCCGCAATGACATCCACCCATAAAGAGGACCTGTCACCATGGCCTCACTCACCCCTGTACACCTTTCCGGGGCGGCGGGAACACAAGACGTTCCTCTTAGTTACTCAATTCCTAAATGATAAAATATGAGCATTTC